GAGAAGAAAGGAAGTAGTAAGAAAGGTTTTTGAAAAATAAATGGGTATTCCAATGTAAAGCACATTGAGCTACTTTTTTGGAAATGCGCTATATAAATGTTATTATATTATTATTATTAATCTGGCTAGCAAACCACCCCGCCCCTGACCCGATCCCCCAATGGGCACCCTGTGTAGCATTATTATATAAGCAGTCAATACGAGGGCTGTCAGAAAGCAGCTGTCCCAGATGTATGACCTGAATTTTACCAGCTGAATAAATTTAGCTAAATTGCCATTGGATTACACATCAGAAAGACTGGCTCTTAGAATTGATAAAAAAGTAAAAGTCGATTACTCACTCTCATGAGAGCATCCAGGTGGAGGCTGTACCCAGAGATGAGCATGACTTCTCTGTCACTATCACAATCCAAAAATGATTTTGATTTGTCAGTGAAATGTTTATAATTCTTCTAAATATTAACAACCAAACTCACACACATGTAGTGACAAGTGATGGCAAATTTAAACCTGCAATGAATTGAGGTTTTTCTGTCATTTTGTTTCTCAAGAAATATCATGTGTGTGTATGTTGCATATTTTTATTTTTCATTCTTAAAAAAATATTTTTCAGCCCTGTCACAAATAAGTATTAATGACTGAAAGATACTAGATCTACTAAATTCGAAAATTGTATGGTAACAAGAGTTGGTGCGCTCTCACTTTCTGTCAATCAATTAACTAATGGAAATTATTTCAAAAGGTGTAAATCATGAGAGAATGCCCCTCAGTGAAAACTCATCTTTTGTGCACATGATCCTCTGTTCTTTTGTCTTTCGCCTGTACAAGTAACTTGGACCAGGCCAAGGGCAGCCTGATACATTTTTACTTTCACTCCGGCATACAGATGGGACTGCTTTTGGTGGTCAAATTTCTGAATTATGTAAGGCTATGTGGTGAAATCTGGTGCTTGTCAAAATAAGGAAATCAGAGAAACAAGCATTTTTCCGCCAGTTTGGATATAAAGTTGAATGCAACTGCACCTTCGCATTCCATGATATGCTGATATGACCAAGTGAAAATACAATGTGTATCATTAGCTGGCATTTGCTGAGGTCAATAAAGTACATTCACACGGATATTGGTGTCTGTGAAATGAGAAATGTGTCAAATCGTCTTTTGGAACTTATCTTTGATGAAGCTAACAACTTCGAGGGCTTCATTCACACTGACTTGGTGTCTGAAACTGCACAGCACGTATATGAGTCAAATCATTTTTTTGTTAGAAATTTATAATGATCAATGACAAAGCGAATAACTTTTAGGGCTAAAAGGAAGAAATCAAGTTTATAAGATGGGTATGTAATGATAATGTGACTGATGCAGTAATGGAAGATAAGAACTTTGAACAATTTCAGACTTTATGAGTTTTTTACAGCATATATATATGTTGCAGCAATGGAAGACTACTAATTTTATACAGTTTAGTTTCATAATGTTATTGCCTTTTTGATATAGCTTTCCTTGGTTTTGAATTTTCACTCTTTTGGACTAACCAATGCTACGTTGAGTGCATGCTAGTAGACATGATTTTTTTTCCATTGGCAGTTGATGTTCATGTGCTTCTACAGGACCTTATTAAATCATTATTCTTTTTTCTTTTCTCTAAGGTGAAGGGAAAATAAAAATAAGTAAGACAAGACTGTAAAATGCCTCTGTCAAGCCAGATCTGATAAACTGGTTGACTTGTCTTTGTTAGGAAATAAAGAATAGTTTTTTTTAATAAAGGTCAAATAGCAGGTACTGATTGATAGAGGTAGTCAGGTCTTGTACAAATAAAACGTTATCAAATCTTCTATAGGTCTGAGAATTTCATCATATTTTTGAGGCAAGAAATGATAAAGACATTTTTTTTCTTTCCCAGATTTCCATTGAACTTTGACAAGCTGTGACAGTTTGAGTACAAGACTCAATCACTGCCATCATGTGGTTTGATGAAGTTGGAGAAATCTTTGAGCTTTTTAAGGGGAGTTTTCCTCTCTCATTTTTGTTTTTTGTACCCATTTTTATCATCATATCTCCTGTGAGCCCTGTGAATGCAGCTCAAGAATTTGGAGTGTACCGGATGCAGCAATATGACTTGCAAGGGTCAACATTTGGTAAGACAGTGATGCTTCTTTTTTTTTTTTCTTGTAAATTAAAAATTTCTTTGTGATTACTGAATGTTTGTGTCAGCTCCAGTGCCACAATGGAAGAGAATGGTAGCTGTCTTTAGCCTTTTAGTAGGGTCATAATTGTCATATTGGCTAAATGATTAGGAAACTTTATGGAACAGGAAGGGTAAAGTATATTTTGGTCCCTTGCAGTCCATGTACATTGCAGTATAAAGCAAGCTTTTCATTTCTGCTAAATTTGAGAATTAAATATTTTTGGTCATCTTCTATCCCCTTTTAAGTGCCAGTGCTCCTCTCTTTTTGAAAATTGTCATGACATGCAACTTTTCAAAGACCACTGTTGATCTTAAGAAATCTTTGTAAATTGGGATTCTCTTAAAATGCTTATTTGCCCCCTAATATTGTAATAGTTTATAGATGAAGACCTTGCATCCTGATCATTCCTGCAGCATGTAAGTTGCTTGTACAGGGCTCTCTAAATCTAGCAATTTTTTCGGTAGTTACCGATTTTGGGCATGTTCTACTGCCATACCGATAAAGGTGTCAAAACTACTGGATTTGCGATGGGTGTCGATAGTAGAAGAAAAATAGCCCATTCTTCAGTGCTTCCAGTCTTTCATGTTTTTGAGGAAATCCGTACATTCGTACATTCCGAAAGTCCCGTACTTGCCTCATCATCATATGAACTTCATGCGTTAAAGAAAAAGAGAGAGTATTTATATAATTATATTAGCTTATCAGAATTCTGTAGCAAAGGATCAGTACTTGCCTCCGTAACTTCTGGGATATTTATGGTTACTTTTAGCTATAGGTTGTGTTAGAAACTGCCAGATTGCTCCTTTTGCTTACTCAACCTTTGTCTCTGTGCAGTTTGATCTTCAATAAATTTTCACGTGCAAAGTGGCTAAAATCTGGCCACTCAAGACAGGTTATCTTCCTCTTTCCTTTCATTCATTCATTCTCTCTGTCTTTCTTGGGTTTTTGCTGTGGCTGGAGGTTTTGTGCATTAATCTAGAGAACTGAATTGTGAATGTAGAAAGAAAATGGGTATGAGAGTTAAACTTTCTCTAATATGTCTAGATCTAGAGAATTGGTCAGTTCTGCATGAGGATTCTAAGACAGCAGGATAAAAGTTATTTGGCCGCGGTGCAAGAAACTGATGCTAAAATAAAAGAAATAAGTGAACGTAGTGCTCTGAGGTTTTGACATTCAATATTCGAACAGGTAAATGAAGGAAAATTAGAGTACAGGTTTGGTGATTATGTCATCGAGATTGGTGTTCCTGGATTTGCCTACAGCCTACTAACTGTCTATGCTGCAATACCAAATTGAACAGGCCCCAGTTGCAATGAAGAAATACCATTTTCAACCCCCAGAAAGCTCTAAATTTCAGTTTCTTCCTTTTGCTCTCGATCCCCCACTCGACCTTACTGGGGGGCCTATGATGGAGGAAAAAAGAAAACAATCTTTTTGAAATATTATAATGTATTCGAAATTTAACTGCCTGACGCGATACTGGAGGATAAGATCTGGAAGCTAATATTATGATTAGAGCGCCGTGCGGCATAGCGCCCCAATGTTGGATGCATATCACCATGCATCATAATAGCTTGTTACTGATTAAAACTTTTTCTTTGATTTAGCAACTTGAAAAGAAAATCAATACTAAGTTTGTGATGCAGTGATTGCCAGATTTTCAGCATCATTATATCCCACGCATTTTTTTTCTCAAATATCTATTGCTTGGATTAAGAGTAAAAGACATTTTTTCCCCTTTCACCACCTTTCTTCTGCCAAAAGATGCCACACAAAATACTTGTATGAATATAATAATTTATTTCAGTACCTTTTTTAAATGATTGTGCAATGCTATGTCTTTCCAACGTGGGTAGTTAAGTATTCTTTCCCTGTTCCTGCTTTCTCTGCCTCTCCTCTGCTTATAAAAAAAGACAAAACCAAGAAAGGAAACAAAGCTTTCGATGTTAGTCTTTTCTTTACTCTTTTTCAACACTGCTTTTGTTTGATTTGTGGCTGAAGAGAGCTGTCCTGAATATGATTCATTAATGTTCTTTCTTAAAAGCAATTTGTGTGTATTTTATAAGTATTAACAAATGGTTTCGTTTCCTAGGATGCAAAAATTCCATCATAAATATGGAAGCAAGGTCAATTGACTGCAAAATGCTAACTCGCCGCTGTGCTGTCGCAAAATTGCAAGATGTCACAATGCCAAAGTATCGTGATCTCATGACGCAGAATGCTGGGGCATTGCTTGTTATCTTGCCACAGAATCTGGGGAATCTCTCAGCCGAAGAAAGACAGGTATCAAGAATGTTCAAATATCCAGTATATGAATGTCTTTTCAGCTAACTGTAATAGAAGAAGCATGTCTTAACTAAAAAGGATAGATTTGTAGTGAAAATTACCAGCAGACCTCTTGAGGTTTTTGGGCTTTGTTGTTCTGTTTTGGTTTTTTTTTTTGGGGGGGGGGTTCCATATTTAGAAGACAGTGAAATGGCGAATATTGATGTTGAAAAAGGAAATAACCATTTGTCCATACATTCTTAGTCTACATTGTGATGCTATGTACTTCTCAATTGCGATGTTCCTTTTATAAGGCAGACGTGCATTAAATATTTTTATGTCCCTGAACATTGTGAATTATTTCACCCTATTCTGGCTTTTATATATTAGTGTACTGTACTTTCACCATTTCCTCACCTTGGTAACTCTATTGTCATTCATTTTGTCAGCATTTGCAAAGTCTGGAGCGGGAGATAGTCCAGGAGCCAACATCAGTGCCTGTGTACTTTGCTCTGGAGCAAGAGTACCTGAAGGACATTTATCTTGATGTCCAAGAGGGCACAGCTGGGGACAATGCAGCAACAGCTTGGGAAGGTACAGATCTTTTTTCCTTCTGCTCTTTCCATTTCTCTATCATCAATATTGTGTATTATAAATCCGTGTGAGTGGGTGGTTGGCGGGTGCTCTGGTGTGGTTTGCTCCTTCTTTCCTATCTAACATCTATTTTCCCGATCTCTCCTCCTTTTTTGTGTTTGTTACTCTCTTGTAACACCTCTAATCTTCGGCACTTATATGACCTTACTGTGTTGCAAGTTCCGTAAAACTCTTACTAATACTAAAAAAAACCCATGTGCCTCTACTTAGGTGATGAAAAAAAATCACTGTAGGTTAAAGTATAATGTTAAAAAAATGCTCTGTTCTTCCCACCTTGGTTTTGTCTGCATATGAAACTTTGTGTTCCTTCTCAATGTCTGTTCTCCGATAAATGAAATATTTGTGGCATCGTCAAAATTCTCCATATTTTTCTTTGTATCAGACTCTTCTGACTTCTCAGTTCATTATATTAAATTTAGTTTTTTCTATGAATCTATATGCATACTGTTGGGAATAAAATGTATTGCTGAGAAGGTAGTTGGAGGGTGCCTTTGGTAGATCCTACTTCTTAACCTTCCCTCTGTTGCTTCTGTCTGTCTTACTTTTTTCAACACTAAATGACCATTGTTCTGTTGAGCTGAGTTTGTATCACATAATTTTTTTATTTAAAAAAACATTTTTTTGGGGGTAAGCATAAGGTCACTTGAGCGCGCGGGACACATTGCACATTTTCAGTTGGTAGGAAATTTTGAATTTTGCCGAGGTGGCGGCCGAAGCCTACTCTTAACGATTTTAGACCACCAAGGGATCTTTGACGTGCGCAACTTGCACAGAGGCCCTCCGAGATTTTTCGCCCTTGTCCGAGAAGGCTAGGAGTAGATTTTTCCTACCAGAAGATCAGGGGTGTGGCGAAAAGACAGCAGTAAGAAAGAGTCATGGAGTAGCAGTAGAAAGGCTGCAGAAAGAGTCAGGATCCAAGAGGAGGGAGCAAAGGAGGTAAGGAGGTAGGGGCAAAAAATGGAGACGAAAGTAGATGACAGAATGTTGCTAGAGAGCAGGAAAGGAGATGAAAGGAGACAATTTTAGAGAAGGCAAATTTCCGTCACTATCTGAATTCGAACCTGGGGCCTATTGAATGAGAGGCGAACACCTTAACCTCTAGGCCACGAGAACATATATATGTATAACAATGTCTTTGGGTTGGGGGACTCCTTCTCAATTAATGATCAGGAGCCAAGTAGTTCTTTGTTTGAAGCTTTCGTTAAACTTCAATTTTTGTTAATTTCAGCCCTTGTCAGTTCTGCCACTGCTAATGGCTTCCAGCTGGTGGTCTCTGGAACAGCTGCAGAGGCGTTGCCAGATTTTGAAGTTGCCAATATTCAGGTTGGTATCTTTATGCTCATTATCAGTCATTGATGTGTTTTTAAAAAAATGACTGATTTTTATTGTGTGTCATAGAAAAGTCAGATTAGAACTGAAAGGAGATGATGTGGAGAGAAGTAAGTGGTTTTATTTATGGCTTCGATATCATTGTTGATATTTGGCAAGACCTAAATTTTGTAATGAGCCATGCTGTGCAGCTTATCAAGATGCAGTTGCAGTTAAGTATTTTGACAAAATTTTATTCTCTATTGGTTGTCATTTTTTTCCAAGGTTTAAACAAAGCATGTAAAAAGACTTTATTGTGTGGGTAGATATATATGCATGTATAATACAAATCAGTTAATGGGAAAGTATTGTTTATTGCTGTGGCAATGAAGAAACTGATTAAAGCTGAATACTGTTACCATCCCTATGTTCTTGGTTCATTGGTTTAAATGTCATGCATAATGTCCCCAGGGTCGTCTCTCTGGCTATGGCATTGAAGAGCAGCTGCCGACCATTGTGATCACAGCTCATTATGATTCTATGGGGATTGCTCCGGTAAGCCATCTGGTGTCTTAACTAAATACTGTCTAGCATACACATAGGAGGTCACTTGCTAAACCCGCTAAGTCAAGTTTTGGGGGAAAAAAAGAGTTAGCGCCCTGAGCCCTTTTAGAGGTCACGTAAACATGTCCCACGAATACCTCCACCTGCAAAACCTGCAAAGTAATGTAGTATTTTGTAACGAAAGAAGTATAACTCTATCAAAACCGCTAAGTAATGAACGGAAACTCTACCAAAACCTGCTAAATCTTTTTATCCATTTGCTTTACGCGATACATTTATTTAAGCCAATCACGTTTGGGCTTTTTTCTGCTGTTTCCCCTTCGTCCAGAATGGCAGACCTCGACTCGAACTATGCTGTTATCGCCGAAAAATGTGAATAAGTCAACATCAAAAGACTAAAAAAGAATGTTTAGGAAAAAAAATTGTTTATAAAAGTCTGGGTTTTAAAAAATATTTTTGGTGGATTATATATATATATATACATTTTTTTTTGGCCATTTCAATCCAATGACCTGCAGTGTCACAGCCTACTGTCAGTATTTTGACAGCCAAATGGTGACATTTGAGATACTTTTATTCAGTGAAGAAAACCTTATGATCAAAACATATAATACTGTAATAAAGATATATGTCTTTCATTTTAAAAGAAAAACCCGGTAAATTCACATTCTTTCTCTTTCTTCGCGGGCTGCTTTTTAAAAAAGTATGTTTTTGTCTAACCAGCATGCTGTGTACTATGGAAAGTACATACTGGAGAGCTCTTGGGTCAATCCCCTTCTCTAAGAATCCAACACGGCTTGTTAAAACACCATCAAAAGCTGCTATGTCATGGCTTCAGTTTCAAAACCTGCTAAGTCAATACTTTGTATTCCATAATCACTGTCAATTAAGTTGAAAAATCATAAACTACAGTATAAAAAGTGTCTACATAACTCATAGTCTCAGTGTGTAGCAAATTGGAAATATTGGTACTTAATTTCTTTGTTTAACTTTAAACACAAAATGCAGTTTTTCTCCTAACTTGACCAACTTGACTTCGCATGTTTGGTAAGTGACCTCCTCATATAATCACGCACCTAGCGAAATATATACATAGTGGAACATGCACATAGCAAAACACACACATAGCAAACAGAATTTTTTTTTCCTACATGTATATTCTTTGTATTTACAACATGCACTTAGTGCAGTTCGTACATAACAAAAATATTTGAGTGTTCAGCCGATTTCGCTGTGAGCATGCTGGACTGTACTTGTTCTGCCTGAATTTCCTTAGCGCATCACTGATAATCAAATCAATTAAAATCAGAAAAGGTTTGTTATTTAAAAGAAATTTTTTTTTTTTTTTACCAGTCCCAACGGAGCAAAATATATTTACATGGCACTGTATCAGCGCACATATACCCATGCATGTATATGCTACAAAAATATCATTATAATGAAGCTTCAGACTGACATTTCTGGACCAGCATCTGTGGTGCAATGGTTATGGTTTTCGCTGTATACACATAAGACATGAGTTCAGTTTCCCTGCGGGGAAGTGCTTATATGTATGAAACACATCAGTCAAATGTGCCATATTTGTATCCATACTTTTGCTGAGTTCTTATGATGTGTTTCAATAAAACAGAAATACCCTGATTACAAATCAATCTACATGATACAATGTATTGGTTTAATTGTGAACAGAAACAGATCATTTCTAATTCTTGGATTATCTGGAAAATGTGGAAATTTGTTGTTCATAAATCATCTTTAAGAATGAAAAGTTTTGACATCTTCCAGTATCTCTTTCTCTGCAAAGAAGTACAAGCAAAGAAAGGTATCACCTTACTACCTGACTGCCCTTTGGGGGAAGTGGTAAAACAAAGATCGGATCAAGTAATTGCAGTTCCATTTCTTTCTTTCTTTCAGTCACTGTCCTACGGCGTTGACTCCAATGGATCTGGTGTGATCATACTGCTGGAACTGGCTAGACTGTTCTCCAAACTGTACACAAACTCTCGCACCCATGCAAAGTATCCTTTACTCACCAATTGAATGAGTTTTATTGATAGTTGGATGACAAAGAGTCCGCAGTTAACGCATCAGACTTATTTATTGACTGTTTTCACCAGCATCACTTGACTAATTGAGATTTTTGCTTCTGTCTTCAATTTTTCTCCACAATTTTTTTGAAAATTGTTTGTGCTTTTGAAAGTTCGATTTGATGAGGGGAAACCACATTGTTTTTCAAGAACTGGTTGAGTCATGAGTGAATATGCTTGTTATTTGTCTGTAAAAATAGGAGACCATTATGTTACTGTTAATAACAATATAATTTTTACTGTTTTGCCTCCTTAAATTCCCCCAAGATACAATTTAGTCTTTCTTTTGTCTGGCGGTGGAAAGTTCAACTATCAAGGTTCAAAGCGCTGGATTGAGGACAATTTTGAAGCTGCAGGTTTGATTTTGTTATAAACTTTCAAGTCAAGTTAAAAAGTGTTTGAAGAACGGTTTGGGAAATTTATGCTCTTGTTAATTTGTCAAAGTCTGTCTGGACAAATCTAGAACATCACAATATCATCTGTATTTGTCTCTGGGGAGAGAAAGAGAGAAAACAACAAGGGTTATAATTCTTTCTTTTATTTTGAGCTGTGTCAGTGCACTGGGGAGGATTATTTTCCAAACTGAATTTTCACTCTATTATGTTCGATCCTTGTGTCAACCAGGATATTTGACAATTGAAACTTTATATCTCCCCCACCCCCTGTTTTTTTTTTTATCTTCAAAGTTGCCCAGGTAAAAAACATGGAACTGAAGCTCCTGAATTATTATCTTTGATGACAGTCACTATTAATTGTTCTTTTTTAATACTTCAGAGGGTAACATGCTGTCGGATGTTGCCTTTGTACTGTGTCTGGACACCCTAGGAGCTGGGAACGAACTGAAACTGCATGTGTCCAAGCCACCGAGAGAAGACAGTGCTGGTGGGCAGTTCTACAAGGTAAGGGAGATATTGACCTTGTGGATCCCAATGTTTACTGTAAATCTATTTTTTGTCTGCTGCATATGAGACATTTGATAACTATTGGTCACATTTTGTGTATGAAGGCTCAAAAGAATAAACAAAAGCCTGTTTTACAAATTTTAAACTTTATCCTATCTGTCTCAACAACCTCCCCAGCCCCTCTGAATGTCTCAGAATTGTTCTGCCCATCGTGTTGGGTTACACAGAGGTCAGTGTTTTTCTTGTTTCAGTGATGATACTATTTTTTAACCAACTGTAGTAGCCCAGTGCTTCTAAAGGAGCTATCTTTTCATGCACATTGGGTTTACCTAAATTGTCATATTCAGGTCTTTCTTTAAAAAAAAAAAAAGAATAAAAAATGGCCCTATTACTGCTTAGGATTTTAAAATCATTTAGTTTAGGTCATCATCCCAGACATAAGTGTGTCACTGTCATTTCACTTGTCATGGAATGGCCGATTTGATGTCTGTAGTGTAATTCTTTCTTCTTTGACTAAAGAAATATCCTTGTATTTTCTCTCATCCACACATTCTGACTTTATTCTTCAGCAACTGGAGGAGGTGGGCAGTTCTCTGTATCCAGAGGCCAAGGTTGATATGGTGCACAAGAAGATCAACCTTGCTGATGAGATGCTCGCCTGGGAGCATGAGAGGTTCAGCATCAAGCGCATGTTGGCCTTCACCCTAAGCCATCTGGGTTCACACAAGTCTCCAGACAGAAACACCATCCTGGACACAAGGTGAGGAGGTGGTCTCTCGCTTACCTGTTGTGTTTTTCAGAACTACTCTATTGATGCAAAAAAAGCTGATCCCGAGTAGGACCCTCTGGGCAGTGCTATTGCACTGATTTACAAGGAAGGTACCCTCTTTGAGCTTTGATTTAGATAAGAAGATGATGTCGTAGAGTCTTCAAACTTTGCAAACAATCAGAGGAAAGGTCTAACTAAAGAGCTGGTTCAGTTCAGTCCAAGTCGATATAAAACTCGCAGTTCGCCGCTTCTTATAGGTCGAGAAATTTTTTTACTCACTGGGAAAGTTGAAGAGATTTTGGAATCACATTAGGTGTATAGCATATATAAGTAGACATTTATTTTCTTGTATAGCCCATATTTACATGTATGCTGGAAAGCCGTTCAGATTTCTATTTAAAGTTAACATAATTTCAAATTAGGGGCAACATTTTTTTTTTTGGTTAGTGTTGGCGCTCGCAACTGCATAAAATCATATGAATGAACGAGACATGTTAAACATTTCAGTAGGAAAGTTTTGAATTTTGCTTGGGTGGCGGTCGAAGCCTTCTCTTATCGGTTTTAGACCACCAAGGGATCTTGCGCAACTTATACACGGGACCTCTGAGATTTTTCTCCCTTGTTCGAGAAGGCTAGATATAGGTCTTTCCTACCATAAGATCAGGGGTCTGGCTGAAAGACCACAGTAAGAAGGAGCCAAGGAGTAGCAGCAGAAAATCTGCAGAATGAGTCAGGGTCCCAGAGGATGGGGCAAAGGAGATGAGGGGATTGGGGCAGAAAGTGGAGACGAAAGCAGATGATGGAACATTGTTAAAGAGCAGGAAAGGAGGTGAAAGGAGACAATTTTAGAGAAGAAAACTTTTCCTTTGCTACCCGGATTCGAACCCGGGACCTTTGACTGAGAGGCGAACACCTTAACCACGGGCCGGGCGGGTAATATTTGCGGATAACTGAATTCCAATTAGAAATGACAGACCTGTAGTCCTGTTGATCTGTTTATGCTTGTTTACATTATGTTATTAACTTTGGACCTGTGATCCATCTGTAAATATGGATGAGAAATTTCTTGAGAACAGGAAAGAGAAATTCTCCGGTATAGATGTGTTAACAGTTAACAGTGAGCAAATTTTGCATTCACTACTAAAGTGATATATTATGGCTGCTTCCCACACTATGACCATAGTGTCCCTAGAGCACCAAGAAAAGATTTCCGCAAAAATGGCCATTGTTATGGCCTGTGTGGTAGTAAAGTATTGATCTAAAGAACGAATAATATTTAAAATCTGCGTCATGTGTTTCAAATGTTTAAAGAAAACTGCTCCTTTTTATCTACAAGAACTTATCAGTATATATAAACCAGGGAGAAACCTAAGATCATCAAATGATAACACCCTACTTGTGACACCTGTAAAATCATACAAATCATATGGAGAGAGATCTTTCTCATATCTTGGTCCATTTATGTGGAACAGATTACTCCTGAAACTAAGACAAATAAAAACACTTGATAGCTTCAAAAGACATCTTAAACATTTTCTGTTCCTACAGGCCTATCTTTCATAAGCATTTAATGTTATCTTTCATTATAGTTGTTCTGTTCTGGATGAAAATAGTCTGTGTGTGTGTGTGCATTAATGTATATTGCATGAGAAGAAAGGAAGTAGTAAGAAAGGTTTTTGAAAAATGGGTATTTCAATGTAAAGCGCATTGAGCTACTTTTTTGGAAATGCGCTATATAAATGTTATATATTATTATTATTTTATTATTTATCTGCATAGACCAGATGACAAGTTCTGAAGTAAGCACCATAGATTCAATTATTTTAAATGAGACAAAAGAGAAGGATGAATCATTTGCCTGACTGTAAGGTATAGAAGCTGATGTCATCGCAAGGACAGCAACAGCCGAGATTGCATTGTAGGCCTAGCGGTTTGGTGCTTCACCCTATTTCGTAGAAAACATGAAAACATGTTCAATTCCCATATGACAATGGTTTTTTACAAAGTATCTTTGTCTTTTTGCTGGGAGTTGTATCCCTCTCAACTTAGGTTGGCCCTGACAGACAGGGTCAAAGTTGAAGCAGCCAGCCTCCTAAATGATCCAAATTGTGTAAACATCTACTCTTCTACAAGTGTAACTGTAGGATAGAAAAATATGGCATGTTACACAAATTTTCAAAATATTTTTGCTATGGTATTGCGTAAAATATACCAATGTATGCTAATTAGATGATTGATTAATTATGCATATACATTTAAAAAATCCGTGCTCACAGCTACCTTCGGTATAAGAAGTAATTGTAGAGTGCCAAGTTTCATCGCTGTAAGTTAATTTGTTCAAAGTTTATGTTCTTTTCTGTTTGAAAATGACTTAAAGCGGGTCCATACCCTGTGCCAGTGTTTCTTATTTGTGTAAAAAAAAAAAAAGGACCGAAAAAGTTTGCTTATTAAGACAGAAAAAAAATCCATTAAAAGTTATTTATTAACCGATTTTCAAAATTTAAAAAATAAAAAAGTATTGTATTCTGCATACTGGTGTCTATCACGTAAACTTATCAGCACAGCAGAATAATGATTTTGAAAAAAATCATCTGGCTTTGCTAATTGATGTTCCTTTGGTTGCGTATGGCCCGGAGGAGCCCCCCAAGTGTTCTATCAAGCTTTGTTCCCTCACGTGAGATTGTATTTCTTTGGAAGCTTTTTTCCAACTGCATGTTAAATGTACATGGGTTAAAAGTGACAAGACGTTTCTTTCAAAATTGGAATTTTTTGTGAGTAGTGGTACTTTATTTGTAGTTTCTCCTGTTGAAAATGCAGCAGTGATCTGTGTTTTCAGGGTTTTTTTGTTGTTGTTTGGAACAACTGAATTCGACATAGAAGTTTTTAGATTCCATTAGTTCTTTTAAAGTTATTCAGCTTTTCACTGTGTTCACAAATGATGTAGAATGTTTTACTTAAATTTTCTACTCATGTTTCTATAGGGCAGCAGTGGACTCTGGGGTCATTACCAGGAATACTCAGATTGTTGCAGAGGCCCTGGCCAGGCAGATCTACAACTTGACAAGCCAAGGCAGCTTTGAAATGTTCACTGACACTCTGGTATGTGTTGTGTCTTTATTTTCCCTCAGCTTTGTGTGGGTTTTAATTTTCCTTAAGCTTGTAAGGGATGGTAGAGCATGACTTTATGGTTGTTTCAACTCTTGGATTTCGATACTTAATTCTGTACCCTACATCTAATTGGCTCCCGAGCACCGGGATCTTAGGCGGAGACTACTGTTTGTATTGTATTCTATATTTGAGCTTTCTGTTCAAGATTTGCAGATTTTCAGTGTCACTGCGTCTTGCCCTCCCACAGTTTTTACACCTCTCACACTGAATAGGTCTACTTTCACTTGAGACATTCATGTTATTACTCTATTTTTAGTTAGAGTAATAATTTTTATCTTTTACATTTATTGTATAAACCTTGACACCCAAACTGGTTCTTGACAGTGGATATTCTGGTTCTAGGCCTTTTCTCAGGCTCAAAGCAAGATTCATTTTTATATAGTTTATATTGGGGAATATGATGAGGGGAAAATATAAATAAGTAAGAACTGACTGAAATACCTAAGTCACAGTATCCCAGTGCCACACTGACATGTTGCTGACTGGAATGTACCTACATGCGTGCGTGCGCACCATTCTGTGTATATATTAATAAATAATATATAAATTAAGCATGTACTGTCATTGTTATGTAACATGCCCCTGGAGAATGGATGAGGGCCCCCCCACCGGAAAATTGAGAAGCCGGGTTGGCAGTCACCCTGCGAACAGTTTTTGTAGGGAAATCGGAACTATGATATGATTCTTTTCGGACAAGTGTAGACCTTCAAAAATAGGCTTTTGTCATGAATTTCTTGACCAAATCTCCTTGAATTTTAAAAATTTCTCCTTGAAACCTCCCTGAAATCTTGAATTTGGTGGGAAGTTCATGGCAGGAACCCTGAATAGAGATGGAAGGCATTTTTACTTATTGACTTGCCTTATCTCAAGGATCTTAGAATAAACCTTTCTTGCCTAATCCAGCTCTCAGTGTGAGAGGCAGAACGCGGCACGGGATGATCATGGTTCTGCTGCGAGAGGGGGGCTTTTGGCTTCTATCAGGCATGGGTTGCCACCCACAGAGCAGCTTCCATTTCTATTTAAAGCCTCCTTGGGGAATATGCATTGCAAGATGAGAGGCATTTGCTGGTATATATACAGTTAAGTGTAAGATATATTCTGACCTGCCTTAACTCTATCTCCGGCAAGCCGCTTCCATTGGCGTGCGGTCAGAACTGCCGTGCCGGTGAGCCGCCGACAGCAGCTCGTGCACATTCCTTTACGCCGACGTCGACATCAAATTACTTTTGGGCAATTGCCAAAAACAGGTCTCTATTATCGGGATTTCATTCATTAGATGACGAACTATCAAAATAGGTTCACTTGTTTCGATTTAATGACCCATTTAGTGACGTTTTTGTGATTTTCAAATAACGTACGAAAAAAGGGCCCCGGCATAGTGGGTTTACCCCCTCGAAGAGATAGAGTTAACTTTGAAGCTAGCTGACTGATGTTCTAGTGGATAGTGGGAGGTGTCTGGTTCCCTTATTTTAATTTGTTCCTTGTGATGTATGGTGGTTGTTGGGCTGGTGTACAATGAACTACAACTTCAGAAGTATGGTTATTAGATTAATTGGCTGTAAATTCAGTTCTACTTTTTCCCCCATAAATATTTTTATAAATATTTTTCTTTTTTCTTTTCAGTCTGTGGAGGAGCCAGTGGTCCAGTCCTGGTTGGACTACTTGTCCAGTGGACCTCGTGCTGCTCAGTTGCTCAAGTCTGACTCAGAGATGGTCATGACGCTGGAACAGACTATGGGTCGCTACCTCAAGGACGTGAGAAAAACTTTGATAAAAGCTGACAAGAGGTAAGTCAAAATGAACGCGAAATTATATCATTATAATATATTGTTCAAGTTATTATTACTTTTTTTGAGGCAGGCTACTCAAGATGTAGATGATATAAAAATACTATTTTGTTGATTTTTTTCTCTAAGACTTGTTTTCTTTTGTTTAGTACCATAAGATGGTATGGGAAACCAGCATACCTATTTTGTACATTGTTTATTAATGGTATAAAATTTTGCTCTTTTAAACGTTAGTTACTGTTTTTGAGAATTCCTTACGGTCTTAAAGGACTGTTAAACACCAAATACATTTTAAAATTATGTTAGTACTGTCTGTTATTCTTTGATTTGAAGCGTGTTCGTAATGATAGTTTTCAGGGAAGTCACTTATGTTGAAAGTCGTAACAGTTTTATTCAAACGCTGAATTGATTTGTTTCATATTTTCTTGTCCACAGGGATCCTGAATTCTTGTTTTACAGTGGGTCAGAGTATGTCATGAATGCATACAAGTAAGTTATGTTTTTATTATGTCTTTCCAATCTTCCAGCATTTTGACATTTCGAGACCTCAGGGCTTTATTGTCGTATCTTAATTTTTTTAAACAGTGAAAACAAAGAGTGAGCTTAAGAAGAAGTCACATTTTCACTAATAAAAATAACGGAGATATGAGAAGAAAGCACCGAGGTCGCGATTTACTGATGGAAGCACTATTGTTGCAACAATTGTTGCAGTTGTGCTGTATCTTGTTGGTTTTTAAAACTTCAATAATATTTATTTGGGCTGCTGTAATAAAGTTTTGTAGTTATCATAGCATCCTGTTCTTTTTGTACAAGAAAAATTGCTCATTACAGTTTCCTGCTATGTCTAGAACTTGTTTCATGTACTGTGTGCAGTATTCAGCATACTTTCCTTTTTTCTTCACCAGTGTAAAACCAGCTGTGTTTGACTTGTTCCTTGCCATCTGCATTGCTAGTTATCTGGCTCTTGCATATCTTTGTGCACAGGTAAACCCATTTTTTAAAAATTGGTTCAATTTTTGTTATGTAGATTCATGTAAAGTTAATAGTATGGAATGTATGTTTTTATTTTTATAAAGGCGTGTGTCCATGGCATGGCCGCCTATTTTAGAGGAGAAAGTGGTTGTCTTTGACAGGCTAATGACTTGAACATTGATGTAGAAAAAAACCTGGGGGGGGGGGGGAGGTGGAAAGTGGTTATTTGTACAGGAGATTGTCTTAGACAATGGCTGTTACAGCAGATTTGACTATTTTTAAGGCTTTAGTGGTTACTGATGAGAGATTAGAAGATACCAGCTAGCAACAGTCATGATTTAAGTCACAAGTGGTAAGCCTTGGCTATACTATTACCATGGGATACTAAATGTGTCATGACGTGGTAGAATCAGGCGCTTGCCATATTTCAGACGTGTGGAGTTATTGGTATCGTCTGAAAGCTTGTCCGTTCATCTTGTTTTCAGTGAAAAAATACCTATCTATCTTGAATTAGAGGTAAAATTAGCAAAAAATGTCGTCAAATTTGGTGACTTCCATAGCTTGAGAGTCCTTGTAAACTGAAAATTTCCGTTTTTGCTCCTGTAATCAACATTTTTCAGTAAATTACACGTACAAAATGTGTTTTTAAATGAACATAAAAATGTTGGGTCGGAAAACCAAGATTCGATAAAAATTGCCAAACCAGCGGAAAAACTGTTTTTATTCAATTTCATTGTTTTGATGAGCGCCTGACCTCACTACAATGCCTCACAAATGTAAACTGATATATCACATTTGCTATTGACTGTAATGAACAGCTTGGGATACTAAAATGTTGAAAAGATTAGGAAATAAATTCTCGAATGCTATCCCTGTAACTAGAGGTGCTTGACAGACACCACTGGTTTGTTTAATTACTTTCCTTTCTATCTTTATTAATTCTGTCTGTCTTTTTCCAAGCACATATTGGTCATTGTTGTGTCAAATTGCTTTTCTGTTACTAATAAGCAATAATGTTGACCTAAAAAGGGAAAGGAATAGGGCGAAAACCAAGGATTTTGTAAGTTTTTGTGCTAAATCCCAAGATTGCAATGATGCAAGTCAATGTATTATTTTTTATTTGGACCTTCATGTAAACTTTTTTTTTTACAAAAAAACTTTGCATCGTGACACAGTGGAATCAGGCGCTTGTCAATTTTTGGGCATATGGAGGAGTTATTTATATAATCTCAAATCTTGTTTGATGAAAAAAAAAGGCCCATCTGTCTTGAAAAGAAGTCGAGATGTTTGAAACTGAAGGAGGTGTAGGTCACCTGGTGTGAGAGGTAACATTAGTGAGAAAAAGGACAGCAAAGTTTGGTCAATTCTGAAGCTTGAGTGTCCTTTGAAACTTCAAATTGATTTTTTGTGTGCCTTTGATCAATGTTTTTAAGGAACATCCACCCAGAAATGTGTTTATAAATAGATGTTAAGGGGGTTGAGCCAAAAAAAGAAAAAAAGAAAAAAAAAAGGCCAAGAAGAAGAAAAAATGCTGGGTCCTTTGAATTCTGTATTGTGACGAGCGCCTGGTTTCACCACGATGCCTCATTTTGTCTGATTAAATCAATAGTTACAATGTCTTGACTGTTCTCCAGAACTTCCATGTGATCTACTATGCACTGAAGCGATCTGTGATTCCTGTCAGTCCCAAGGCTAAGGCTCATTAGATCCAACAGGTAAGCAAACATGTTACATTCCATAACAGTTGTTTGTTTATGTTGTTATTATGAATTTTCTGCCAGCAGTGAATGGTGCAGTTTTTTAGTTTTTTTTAATACCTTATGGATTCATTGGACAAGTTCTGTGGTCATATTTTATATTTTGTGTTGTATTAGTTTTTAATGATACAAGACTTCTGGTACAGTATTTTGAATAACATTGAGAACGATAACTATTGGAAAAATAGAACTATGTCTTTACTTAAGATATACCATACATCTAAATGTTATATTTTTAGGAGACTTGAAAAAACCCCAATTTTTTTGTGTGTAACATGTTAGTCAGATTGCTTCATCATGACAGTAGGTCAATTATGATTAAAAATGTGTATTGACATGCAGCAGAGTGACTTTTATCACTGAACACTCTAATGGTGGCGACGACTTTAGCAGCCTACTATGCCAAGTGATGGGATAGGGGTCTGCTTGAGTCGTCTACTTGAAAAATGAAATGTGCGCATCAAATTGTAAAATATAGAATTTAGGACAACATGGAGGATGGCTTCATTCCAGGCAATGAATACAATCTGCATTTAATGTTTGTACACCCTCTTCAGTGTGTGTTTCTGGTTTGGGGAACACAGCAGTATATTGACTTACTTGTTAATTTGACTTAAGAGTCTTGGCTTTAATAACTAGGTACTACGAAAGAATCTTAGACCAGTTCCTGACAAAGTAACAGAAAGTTTTGTTTTGCTGGGTGCATTGAGCTGCTCTGGAGTTTTACTAGAATAGAAATAATATTGCTAAAACTTTCAGTACATATGCAAGTTAAATTGGCTGAAAAAATCCAGTGCTTGGCGGCCCTTGGCTAGCTACTAATCCACATGTTCCCTACAGGCCAATATGTTTGAGCAAGGAAAAGTACCATTAAAACAGTAGGGTGCTTGTAATAGGGGAACATCTGAAACTTTAATTTCATTTGCCTTCTTTGACAAGACAAATCATCTTCCCCAGATATGGTACAGAATCAACAAGTAGTTCAGACCAGTACACTCAACTCAGACTGACTCCATGCGTCACTGGATCTGGCCTCGTCATCTTTCCGTGGAACTGAATCAGTTCACTATGTCCGAAAGATTTCTCTTGTTGTTTGTATTTTTCTTCCCTAAACAGACAATTTTTAGTTTCTGAATAATAGTGATGCTTGTCCCTGATTTAAGACATTTCTAACTAACCTTTGCTCCCATAAAAAATGTCTTATGGGACTCGTGGTTTTAACTAGAAAGCTAGTTGATTTTGTGCAGTGAACATTTTTAGCGTTTTAGATACGTGGTAACTTCCTTTCTGAAGTGATCCTGACTTGACTTTCAAGATTTCTTTATGATGTCCCAGAGGAGTCAATCCCAACACGTGATTGATTTCCCAACTTGCTGCATTTTACTGAACTGGTAGAATTTGCTAAACTGAAACATCATTTGTAGTTTTAAAACTTTCTTTGGAGAGCTAAATGCTTCTGTTTGTAAATATTAAGAAAATTCCTTATTTTGTTGTATTTATGCATTCCTGTCATTATATATCGAGACTGTTCTCTTGTGGATGCGACTCAGTCCCTCCCGCTTTTGAATATGTGGGAGTGCAAATAGAAAGTCCTAAATCAGGGAGATCATTGTATTCAGAGTTTTGTTTGCTGTCTTTTTGATAAATCATAAAATTGATTATATTTATTACAGGTCTGATTGTTTTTTTTTAAACAAATAAGCTGTTAGATGTAGTGTACATGTGAAGGATGCTTGTGTTTGTGTGGTGCCAATGTATTGATGGGTGGTATTTTAAAAAAAAAGTAAAGTGTTATTGATGTAGAAACAATCAAACAATCTGTATTCCGGGCCTCTTGCACTGATTTGGTAACTTTCTTGTACCTCACTGTAATAAGACTAAGAGTTGGCAGTGATGATGTGTGGTGGTGGAAGCGGACGTAAAATGCTTTACAATGACTTTGGTCATCCTTTAGTAGTTAGCTAAAAAATTTATGACCTGCAGATACTCTTTTCTAACTCTCATTTTGGGGAGAGAGTTTGATCTTCTTAGAAAATATGATATTTTTCATTTCTGAAAGATTTTAGAATTTCTCCTAATGTGGAAAGTTTCAGAGCTGGTTCTTCTATGGGACCTGTGTCCTCTCTTGGCTTATAGAACAATGGGTTCTTGGCGATACTCCTTACACTTACAGCGAAGTTGGATATTTTAGTGAATGCTGAAGATGAAGCATTGGATGCATTTCTATGGCCATGCGTTTGTTTTATTTGCTCAGTGTATTGTACTCATTTGGGTTTTTACTACTTATACTAGCAGGAGAGCTGTATACCATAAGCTGTACTTTGAGTATATCAGTTTGTTACATCACATGGGTTTTTTTTTATACTTGACCTTTTGGGGGGGGG